CCCCGGAGAAAATATAAACTGGCATGCTGCCTTCTTGAATTATATTTTTGTGGTGATTATAGCTCATGGACATACTATTTATAACTTTTGATGGATTAACACCAGTGGCTGGAGTGAGGCTATTGGGGAAGGAGGCAGCTCATCAGGGAGCCCTGGTGCCAGTGTAGGCACAGCATTGGGGATGCACAGGCCCCCGGTGCCAGTGTGGGCGCAGCCATAAAAGGCCCAAGTGGCCGGGTGCACCTGGAGGTGTGGCTGTATGGCTTGGTTTTTTTTGGACTGAAACAGTGGAGGTTCAGGGCCGCTGCCCAGCTTTGAATGTGCGGTTCACTGCCCGCAGGGCTGGTGGACAGGCCTCTGGGCCAGAGAGGCTGGGCTCTAGACTGGGGGCAAAAAGGAGGGCCACGAGCCCCAAGACCAAGGAGGTAGAGCCTCGGAGTCAAACACCATCTGATGGGTTTAGATGCGGAGGCCTAGCTAGAAAGAGGTGGGGATCAAGGCCTGTGGTGGGGGAGAACCCCAACACATGAAATGCAATAGGCAGGCTCCCATTTACAAGAATATCCATATATTATATCTGTCAAGACGTGTCAGACGAGAAACTTTTTAAGGGGACTTCAAGGGCGCCTCTCATAGGTTGCGCATAACAGACAAAAGATGGCACTGGGGAGGGTGACCTGTTACAGGGTCCCATGAGGGAGCACCAAGAGTGCATAGCCCCTGCTGTGGCAACGCCTCCCACCCCACAGGTGCCTCCCTATCGGCCCTACAGCCACCTCCTGCCCCAGCCCCATAACCCTTTTAGGCAGACAGGGGGTCTGGGGTCACCAAACTGTCCAGCTCCTATATGCATAAGTCTGTTATCTTTACTCCCAAGTCCGGGAATTGGCATGCCAGGTTTAAAGCCTTCTACCCTGTGCCTCCCTTCCAGGTTTGTGTTGAGTTCAGCCTCTGCAACGTTCCTCCTGACCCAAACCCCCTTCCCATTCCCCCTCCAGGTTATTTTATGCCTTTCACACCTCCCCTACCCCTGAATGCCCCTGCCCTGCAGCCCTCCCTCCTCAAATGTTTGCTGGCTTTCATCAAAGGGAAGAGGGACCAAGTTGAGACATGGGCAACATTCAAAAGGTTTTCTTTATTAAAAACAAGAGACAATTGGCAACTGCAACACTGTAAACTGAGGCACATCTCTTCTTTGTACTGCATTTCCCTACCCTCCCAATCCTAGTGTGAGCGTCTCAAGGGATAGGGCAGAGCAAGGGGGCAAGAATGGTGTTCAGGCAACCAAGATTGTGGATACTGCCGCCCAGGATAGAGCCAGAGGCTTCTGGGGCAGGAGATCCATCACCTGGTGCCAGGGAGACTCAAATCCCTCCAGCCCTACTCATCCAGGAAGCACTCCCAGTCCCCAAAGGCCAGGAGGACCCACACTCTCTGTTGCTGTGTGGGCCAGTGCCCCCAACATCAGTGGGGGGCTCTCTGCAACCTCCCTGCACTGCCCATGCTCAATGGGCCATGCCTTGTCTGTGCAGTGTACCATCTCTAACTAAGGCTTCTCAGAACACCTTCCACTGGCCTCGCATATGTTGTGGAGGACACAGGAAGCAATGAGGCATGGCAGGTTTTCCTCTTCCACTTCGAGGCAAGTACTGAGAGCCCACCTGCAGGATGACAGAGAAGTAGCCCTTGCCATTGATAAATGCCCAGGCACCTTGGAATAAGCAGAGGATGAGGATGTGGGGCCATCCACAGCTCCCCACACAACTGGAGAATCCAGCAACCAACAATGGAGCTTGAGGCAGATAAAGCAGTATGCCAGGATGTTCTGGATGACCACACATACCTCCCAAATGGCTTCTATGACCAGGGGCTTGCCCATGCCAAATGGTTGATATAGCAGAGACTGCTGGGGGTCACCAGCTTCATGACAATGATGCCTACCTGCTTCTCTAGAGGGGTGGCCACATGCCAACATCCTGGTGCACAGTGTGGGGGGCCACCTGGGCAATGATGTCCATGAAGGTAGCCTGGTGCATGCAGAAGGACTGGACCCACTGCTTGTCATCACAGGTGTCCAGGACAATCCACTCCTACCAGTTGCTGCTGGTGGTATGGGTTCCAAACCAGTGCTTGATGGTCTGGAGGTGGTGCCACAGCAGCCTGGCATCCATAGTGTCCTGGGTAGCTTCATCCCCATCAGCAACTTGGAAATCAGTGGCCCAGTCCAGGCCATTTGACAGGTACAGGGTGCAGTAGCTAGCCCTGTGTGAGATGGCCAACTGCTGGTTCAGGGGCAGGAAGCCATGTCCCATGACAAACAGCTGCCAGATCATGTTCTGATGGCCACATGTGATGTCCTGCAATCTTCTTCAAAAGTTACGTGGGGCAACAAGCAGAACATGTTACACCTCCTGGGTCTGCATGCTTGGACATGAGTGGTGAGGCACCATGGCAGGGTGTGGGCAGGTCAGGACACAGAGGCACATGCAAATCATGAGGGAGGGAACCCACTCTGGGGCTCTTCTCAAAGCCTCAGGTCGGGGACCCAGGGAGGGTCTGCAGTAATGTGGTGGAAGGTTGGGAGCATGCTTACCCACACCAGGCAGGCAAATCAGGGGAGGTTCAGGCACTTGGCTGTACTCAGCTGTCTCCAGGAGCCCAAGGAGCCTACAGGGCACGTTGGGAGGCATGCAGGAGCACCTCCCACCTGCAGCCTCAGGCCAGTGCAGGCTGCCTGCACGATCCCCCACCAGGAGGGTGAACGTGAGGGGGGTGGGGAAATTCAGCAGGTTCACTGGGGAAGCTATGGCAGGCCCACTGGGGGGACTGTCGGAAGGAAAAAAAATGCTGGTTCAGTCTGCTTTTTCATTTGCAAACAGGTGGAAGTATAGCTGATGGTTTCAGCAACACATCAAGATTAGCTATCACAAACATTGATTAGCTAACATGTTATTAATCTCACCATAAGGACGAGATGTTGCTTCTTCACAATCCCTTTGTAATAATCAGCAGAAAAGTTTCACAAATATCATTTTAAAAAAATGCCCCAGACATTCTTCTAAACTAGACCCTCCTTGAGCGACATTTTATTCATGATTCATACAGAGAACTTGGCAAAAACCTAATATGATTACTTGAATATGAATGTCTCTAAAACAAGTGCAGACACTTAGATGGAAGACCTACTGTACAGAAAAGTATTTTTGGACCACGCATTCACTGGAATGTGAAGGAGATCTTATTCTTGATCTGCCCCATTCCTTTATGCTACCACGCAGAATAAATACTCTCTCTCAAATATTCTTTCTCTCTTTAAATAGGCAGTCATATTATTATATCTGTATCTTCCCATACAATTTCAAGAAACACTGGCCAATATTTTGCAATCTTTCTGCAAAATTATAAAAAAGACCCTACACAAGAGGCTGGACTGTCCAAAGGATATGACACTGGATTAGGAATCAGAACCCTTGTGTTCAAGCTTAGCTTCTGCTACTGATCTACATATGCCCTTTACTGAGGATTAGACTAATTAGCTGCAGAGTAAAGCATCACAGTCTACACGTGTGAAGGTATTAGGCCACAGTAAACTAATTAACACCTACATAAGATAGCACTGTCAGAAACAGTACTATCTTAAGGTGGAGTAATTAACTGTAAATAAATGCACATGTAGACACTGAACACAAGCGTAAATTGCGCCCAGTCAGCCCAGCCATCAGGGGGCCACACTTCTGCCTGCTACCTAGCCACATGGCTCTGTACTTTCAGCACCCTTGTAATCCAGCCAGCCCCTCCACTGCCTGATGCCAGGGGCAGAGCAAGACAGAAATGGCCCTGGTGTAACCTGCTCCACTCCAGTTTAAATTGCTGCTGTCCCAGGAGCACGTGTAGACACTGAGCTCAGGAGTAGTTTACTCCACATCAAACTGCTCCAGAGTTTATTGTTTCAAATTAATTGCACATGTGGGTACACCCAGTGTAACATTAGGCAAGTGGCTTGCCTTTCTGTGCATCAGTGTCCTTTGAGATCTGAGGAGGAAAAGTGCTATCCAAGTATCACTGCCACTTTATATAAGGTACCCACAACCATACAGAGAACTGGAATTAAAAAAAATTAAGTGTATGAATCAAATAAATTTACTAAACTTGCATAACTTTTGTATTTGAACTATAAAACCTACCATCAAAATCAATAGACTCTGCTATAATTCATGGAAAGCACTGCTGATCTTGAAAGAGAACTTCCTAGAATAGCAGCCTTGATTAGACAAAGGACCGACCATCTTCAGTGACTATGTTTTCTAGAAGGATATACAGGAATGGCCTTCCCACAATATTTGATGCATAGAAAAGCCAAGTATTAGAAAACAGCAACCACCCCGCTGTTTGAATAATGAGCTTGACATGATGACTATGTATAATGATTAAAAACAAATGTATTGTCTGTTGCATGACATTAATCGATACAAGCAAGAACACTGAAAATTTCCATTTTTTCTCAAAGGCACTCCACTACGTGGGCTGTTCTTGATAAATCATTCATAACAGTCCATACAGATTACGTGACCAACACCCATCCCTCAACCTTTATCAGCCCCCACAGTGGTCAACAATACAAAATGAGTGGGGAAATGGTGTCACAAATATCCTTTTATAACAATAATGAAGACACTTACACAATCTCCTCAGGGGGTAGGGCATGCATCTTGTGGGTTTCATCAGTTAGGTTTCAATTTTGGTTTGCAAGATGGTAGATTGGAAGAAATTGACAGAAGATGAGATAAATGAAACTAAATTAGCCACAAGCAACAGGGCAATTTGAAATAACATTTATGTTGAGGGTGCTATGGAGTTAGTTGTTATAATCACTCTTTAACATGTTAAAAAGGTAGAATATATTTAGGAGAGCCTAGGAGAAGGAAGCAAAACATATCAAGGGGATAAATATCTGGAAAGTCAATATCCTGTCAGCACATTTGGAATATTGCACTACTTGCCTGTTCACTTGTACTTTCAGCTGTTCTTCTATTTCTTCCTTGTGAGTCTTCCCTGTAAGTCTTGTGATATCTGGCATTCATATTTATAACAGGTTCCGTGGCAGAGGTTTTGATAAGCATAGGAGAGGTTACTGCAAAACAGGTTTTAATGGGTACATTTCCTTCAGAGGTAGGTAATATATTTGTTTAAGAGGAGGCAAAGAAACAATACCCCTAATTCACTGCTCATTCAGTGAGTCAGCAGTGAGCTCCTGTGATCCACATAGCTTCAAGTTCCCAGTAAAAATTACTACAGGACCAGCCCATTCACTGGCTGCTTCCCATAACTCCTAGCTACCAATACAAAAGAGGACAAATAAAAGCCCGCATCTTCTCCTGAGGCCTGTACCTCTGTACATTAGACGAGATCCAGGAATGCAAGGCTGTGCCACACCATGAAACCAGCAGATATCCATACCTGCAATTAGCAGTGGGGAAGTGAGGCCTTTATCATCTCCCCCAGCCAGCAGCCCAGGAGCATTGCAGATATTCTCAGCGTTAAGAATGCACAATTCCAAGCCAGTGCTTTAAAGCACTCAGCCCCCACCCTGACACACGCCAGCAAGAACCGTACAGCCAGATAGAAAGATATAGCTCTTCATTTCCTTTCACCAACCCTTATATTATTTCTCTGCATTTCCATACCATAGGCAAGCTCCATCTATCCCAGAGTGGGTGTCCTTTGTGGTCATATACTATGGGCCCAATTTTCTCTCACAACCACTGTACAGCAGTGTAATTCTTCTGAGATGTTTTAGGCACTAAGCCTTTATGTGCCCCATAAATTACCACAACTTACCTGTGCCACTCCATGTAAATAAGAAAAATAATAGCATCTGTTCACTGGGAATTGGTTTTCCAACAACGTACATTACACCAATATAAATTATGCCAAACCATTGCTTTTGGTCACCATCAGCTTTGGCTGGACTAATAAGGAAAGTCTCTGGAGCTCTTTGTTAAACCCAAGAGTGATCTAATCCCCCAAGAAACTGTTCCTCTCTATTTTGACTGACCTGGAATTTTTGGGATTGCTTCAGGTGTCCTTGTTAGCTCAGACCCATTTGATGTTGAGAGATTAATAGGCTGACATTCTGTGAAAGTTTGCTCCGCTTCACTTCTCATGTGCGCCTGCTGCCACCTTGTGCTAATAGGGCTACTAGCAACAGGAACACTGGATATCAATTTCTTCACGATGGAACTTTTAAACCTTGAATAGGTGGTCTTTCCAGAATCGGGGGTCTATTAAGGGAAGAGCCAAGAGTTTAGCTGCAGTAATAATATAAGAGAAAGTAAACTTCTGTCTAACCACAGATTGGCAAATACTCTCAAGAGCTGAAACAAGATCCCATGGAGTAATATTGCTGATATTATTTTATATCCCTTTAGAAAAGCCTTTTCACCATTCAGTCAATAGCGAACAAATTCTGCCTCCCAGTGTATCACTCCTGTAACTGCACATATCTACAGGAGTTGTAGGAAAAAGAAACCTCCCTGTGTGACCTGAAAATCTGCATAGTACCTCAGATGCCCTGTGAAAAAAATTGCAGCCTCCAGAGTATCTGAGTGAAGTAAAGTGAGTAAATCTATATGGTCATAAATCCATGCATCCTGCCCAGTCTCTTGACCCCCCTCAGTACAACCATCCCAGAGCCCATGTCACATGGAGGCAAATCAGTACCACTGAAGACAAGGTTCCCCAGAGTCCATAAGAAAGGAGAGTAAAGAGCAGCAGAATGCACAGTGACTTGAGCTATACCAGTGAGGGGCAACCTTTATGGCAGGCATGCCATAAGAGAAGTTTGCACCCACTGTGAGCGGCACTCTGATCCTCTTACCATACCCAATTTGTTGCTCTGTTTTCTGCTCCCTGCCCTGTGCTCCCTGCTTGGTCTGTTGCTCTGCTTTCTGCCCCATCTGTTGCTGTGTTCCCTGCTCTCTCAATCACCCATGTCCCACACATAGAGGCTGCCCATGCCACTTGTATAGTGGCTATACGAGCAGACTCCAAATCAAAAGAGAAATGCCAAGTATTTTCAATATTGCTGAGACTCAAGATGCAGTTACTAGTAACAAAGCTGAAATAATGGGCAATTTCAGTTACTTGCATACAAATTGTTCATCTCTCTCTTCAAAAGGATTTTAGAGATGCATTTTTCTTGACACCTGACTTGACTGGTTTGTGGATGAATTAGTTCTAGAGAAGGAGCTGTTCTCATCATGGTGTTAAGTAAAACATAACTGATTCAAATTATACCTGAGCCTTTAATAGTAAAGACAAATGAACCAGTTACCACAAGGTAATCTACTCTGTGTATCTACATTGAATCGGCTACTCTGTATCAATTGCCTGAGTGCTTGCTGTTACCCTATGGTAAAAGCAAGGTGGTTTACCTGTGAAGGCTGAAGAAGATACCTAACATTTACTGCAGGGTAAGAGTCATAGAGAAGTAGGGGTGGAAGAGATCTCCAGAGGTCATCTAGTCCAAACCCCTGCTTGAGGCAGGATCATCTGTATTCAAACCACCCCAAACAAACCATAATATAAATTCTACATAAACCTACCATCAATACAGACCTAACACCCTAACCTGTCACAGGTAAAGCAGGGAAACATGACAGCCAGTGTCCTGCTTTTATGAAATGTTGTCAATATATGCTCAAGAGATCCCAGGGAGAGAGCCATGCTTCCCACCTCCTTCCTTGCCCCAACCTCCACTCAGAGGAAGGCAAAACCCCCTGCAGTCCAGACTAATCTGACCACAGGGTAAAATTCCCTTCTGACCCCAGATATGGTGATTGGTCTGACCCTGAGTGGAGGAGCAAGACCCTCTAGCCAAACACCTCCAGCTTTAGTCCCATCAGGGGCATTGGCACACCCCAGTCAGAGTCCCTAGGTTTGCCTGTAGCCAATACCCAGTGCCTCAGAAGAAGGCTTAAAAACATCCAAGTGCATGTAGCAGTAAGGAGGGGTCAGTGGCAACCAGCAAAGCCCAGAAGCATAGGAAAAACCCACAGTAAAACATATCCATAGCGACACCTAGATCATCCCCAACAGTGGCTATCCAACATCTGCTTGAACATCTCCAGTGATGAAGAGTCCACAACTTCCCTCGGGAGACTATTCCACTTATAATAAATCCCTTACCCCCCCTTATATCAATCCTGCTTTTCACCTTTCACTTTCATCCAAACGCATTCTGCTCTTCTGTCGTCTTTCTCCTGAACTAGGGAACAAGTGTATGCATTTTTGACATACAAGGCAACATCACCATCTTTTCTCCCAGCCCTGTCCTTCCAAGAGTGTAACCCTTGATGTTGACATTCCAATCACAGAGCTGTCCTACCAAGTCTTGGTGATGCCAGTCAGATCATAGTTCTCTTCACAGGCTGCAGCTTCCAGCTCATCTTGTTTATTCCTCATCCTTGCATACATGCATCAGACATATTTTGCATTTTGACCTCCTCACTTCCCTTCTGCACCACTTGTTGCAGTCCTGTAGGTCTCTGGCCCTTTCCCAGAGTTGAACTGCTTCTTCAAATCCTTTCCCATCTGGACTGCGCGCTGTTGCTGGAGGGTTTTGATCACCATCCCCTATGGACATGGGTGACTGGTACCTCCTGAGTCTGGGGGGACACCAGCAGGGTGCGACTGGGGGTGGGGGGTCCCCCAGTGACCATCTGGCAACCAGGGGGGCATCCCTCAGTGGCTGGTCACCGAGCATGCCAGCAGCACAGCAGTGACAAAAGTGCCAGCACTTCCGTATGCGGCATGGTGGCAGCAGTAGTCCCAGCACTCCCACTGCTGACAGAGCCAATTTCAGGAGGGGCACTAGTGCTCTCTGTGCCCCCCTACCAGCCAGAGTGCTCACTGTCGGGAGGGGAGGCACATGCCCCACGTACCCCCCGCCATGTGTCACCTATGCCTATGGAACCTAGTTTAAAGCCCTACTTACTAGGTAGGCCAGACAACCCCCAAAGATGCTCTTTCCCCATTCTCATTAGATGGATCTCATCTCTTGCTAACAGTCCTCTTCCTAAGAACATACATCCATTGTTGAAGAGGCCAAAGCCTTCACATTTAAACCACCATCTATTCCACTGCCTAACTATTCTAACAGTGAAGGAGCTTTTCCTGATCATGCCGATCGACACCTCCCCTACAGACCAGATCCAACACCCGTGGTGCCCGCTCTGGGTGGTTCAGGGCACAAGCTGCACACAGCACCTGCTCCAGTTGCTCTAATGTGGGCACCATGTGTAGCATGAGTTCCAGACTGGATGCCACAGGTGGTGCAATCCCAAACAGACCAGAGTGACCATTGGATCTAGTGTAGCATCCCTATCAAGTAACTTGCCCAAGGTTGCACACAAGGTTTGTGAAACAGCGAAGGCCTGAACTTGAGTCAGCTCCTAACCACTGAATCATCCGTCCTCTAAATATCCCTGTCATGTACATGACAAAAAGAAGCCTGTGAGAGATGCATTGACTTAATTCTGTCTTTAATTCATATTTTGGGGAAAAAATCTCCCCCAGGAAAGCAATGATTTGTGGTGAATTAAAAACCCATTTGTGGAACTAAGGGTGGGTGACCAGTTCACTAGCCCGGGGCACCAATTATAACGGGGCACAGGAATGATAGCTCCTAATGCAACCACTCAGTTTCTGTTACTCTCCTACAAAAGCCAAGCTCTTGCATCAAAGCACTTACACTGAAACTTTTGCTTTAAATAAATCTGTTGTGTAGATAAGCCCCAAGCAAATAAATAAGAGGAGGTGGTAGAAAGACTACAAGGAACCAACAATACTTTAAATGGGAAACTTGTGCTTTTTGCCCCACCGATTTTTTTAAGCAGGAGATGAAATTTCTTGCATTTGAGAGCATTTTTAAAACAATAATCTAGGAATAATAATATTCAAATATAGCATAATAACCATGACTTCGTTCCTAGGTACTATGATAAAATAAATCATCATCATGTCCTCCAAAGAGATTACCTGTAATTTTAATGCAATTTTAAAGTAATTGGTGGGTGTATCTATATGTGTATTTTACTGCAGAGCTGACTAATTAGTAGGGCTGTGTGAAGCTTTGGGTGGTGATTCAATTTGGAGGAGATTTGGCCTGATTCAGTGGCCAAGTCTCTGAATCTGAATCGAATCAGGGGACCAATTAAAAGGTTTGAAAAGATTCGAAGAGCTTCGATGATTCAGACAGTCCCCAGTGGCTGCAGCATGGAACCGCAGCCGGACTCAGAGCCGGTAAGTAGGCAGTGGAGGGGAGGGCTGGAGGAGTGGGGAAGGGACCATGGAGAGACCCTTGCCAGGCCCCAGCC